AAAGAAGTGATATGGAAATATAGCCTCACAATATTAAACTAGTAAAAACTAAAAATGTTTATTTCCTACTTGCAAGTAATAATATGTCCACTGGGTGTCACTGTGGCTTCATATTTAGTTACACACAAAAAGATCTTTGTGTTTGTGGAGTCATTGTTATACAGGTCTTCTTCCTACTTATTTTTCTTTTCTGCAGCGAATTTTGCCAATATTTTTTCCTGTTTATTTTTAGATACAGTTATTTATCACCACTGCAAATAAAGCAGATACCTATCCCTAAACTGGCTGCTCCAAACTGTCTTGTTGTTACTTGGGTGACCAATAGACAGAAGCACCTACGTTTTGTAAAGGAAGAGCTTTACCCTTCTTGGTCTGTGGAGATAGTTGCTGAATGGCACTGGGTAAAAGTAAGTTCAGAAGTTAACTTATTTGTTAATAAAGCATGACATATAAGTTACATAAAGATAGCATCTACTTTTCAATGCTTAACATGTCACCACTCTACTCCTTCAACACGGTCTAATTAGAACTTTTCCTTTGCTGCTAAATACTTTTATGTTTTTATTCTTAAGGCTTGTTACCTGTTTGTCCTGTGTCCTTTTGTATTAGAATCCCAAACTGTTGGTCTTAGAGAATCACTGAGGTAGATACCAGGATGACATTTTTAAAAGCTCTGATATCTGTAGTTTAAAAAACAACAAACAAAATTTGTCCATCACTAATCATAGAAATTTGCTTACTGTTCATCTTCTTCCTCTTTACTCATTCACAATTTCAACTACCCTTTGTGACTTCTTTTCTTCTTTTTTTTTCTTATGTTGCTGGGGATGGGAGGGAGAATAGCAAAGAAACCTAGTGTGGAAGAGGTGGGAAAATTCTGCAAGCAAGGCTCTTTATACTTTAAATCTTAACTTAGTTCCTCAGTGCCTATTTTTGAAAGAAATGATTCCAGCTCTGGGATTGCCTGAATGATCTTTAATAACTCTGGTTGGTATAAGAATACCAAACATAACAGAAAAGTAAGGCATCAGTTCAGAGTTCATTGGACATCCTTTTGAAGATATGTTGTCTACTTAGATGAATTCTACAAAAGCCCTCCAGATTGTTAAAAAGATAAACCAGGTTATTATGGAGTGAATGTTTAACACTTACATAATGTTAATGAATAATGGTTTATACATTTCAGACACAGGAGAGTTCTGTTTTTATGTGCTTTGTGGTCTACTGAAATAGCTTCTAAAAGTTGTGTGCATTGTTTATTTGCACCTATTTGATGGAATTTGGAAAACAAACGCTTAATGTTGTGTCTTTGCTTTTTACAGTTGTACTTTGGGCTTAGCTTTTGTTGATTTGCTATCGGATCATTACAGGAATATAAACCTCTATTCCATCCTGTCTATTATGACAGCTATTTTATAGTCAGAGACTGGGGCCAAAGTCCAGAAAAGGGTGCTTACTAAAATCAAAACCAGTAAAATGTTAATATATAAAAACTAAGGCTATTCATTTCTAGTGGTAATAAGTTCTAAGAAATGGTATAATATAATTGTAGTTTAAAACAAAAACTTAGGAAACACTTATTAGGTAACTGCACATATTGTTATAACAGGAGTTATCTGCATTGAGTATAAAGGATATCTAAAGATTAAGAATTTGCCAGTGTTTATACAGCACTGTGTGAAGTAGATGCTGTTTCTCATGGGCCCCAGAGGTGATAAAAGGACTGTACTGATTAGTTTTTTTTTATTTTTGGTACCTCGATATAAAGTAAAGGGTTCCATAGATAATAGATATAAATATTCCGATAGAGAAAATATGTACCTCCGTGCATAATTAATGAATTGATATTGTTAATATAAATTGTGTTTTGAGTTTGATTAGCTAAAGTGAGTCTTTGAGATTCTGATCCCTCTGGGGTGAAATGATAAAATTGAATTTCTGGATTTATAATGCCAGGAGATTAGATCGTGTATTGTGTATCTCATCAATCCTGGAGCTTCTTTCATTAATTTTGGCTCTGACAGTATTTAATGACACTATTTCCTATAAATAAAGGAAAATCCTTTACTATAATCTTCTTAGTCACATTGCCATAATAGGTAGATGTTATTTGAATGAACAAATAAATGAATTAATGATGGCATGGTTTCTAGGAATAAATTCTAATAAAAATAGAGATTTTTTTTGTGTGCAAGGTGACAAAATGATATTAAAAAATTTTTTTTAGTCCCTTATAACTTATCCGCTTTGATAGTCACTAGCAATATGTAGCTCTTTAGCACTTGAAGTCTGGCTAGGCCACACTGAGATGTGGTGCTAAATGTACAAATATTAAGTCTTCTGGGTTTAGAAGACTTACATGAAAGGAAGAATAGGACACAGCTCAATAATTTTTTGAATTGATTACATTTTGAAATGATAATATTTTAGATGGTAGATTAAAATATAATTAAAATTAATTTTACTTCACTCTTTTTACTTTTAATGTTGCTGCTAGAAAATTTGTATTATATATGTGGCTTACATTTGCAGTTCACATTATATTTTTATTGGACAGCACTAGCCTTGAGGTTTAATAATTTTTCTATGGTGGAAACTGTATAGTGGTAAGGAAAAAAAACCCTTTCTTGGATATTTACAGATGTAAATATCTTCTTCTTCTTCTTCTTCTTCTTTTTTTTTTTTTTTTGACTCCTTCTTATCAGATCACCAGTTCTGGAGAGTTTGTGTTCCCATTAGATTCTCCACACAAAAAGCCTTATGAAGGTCTTATACTGGGAAGAGTTCGAGAGAAAGATGCTTTACTATTAAGGTAGGAAAGATGATTTTTCAAAATCTTATACATGTATTAATTTGGGGGCTTTTAAAATTATTAACACAGTGGTCATTGGTTTCCCTTAATTTTTATGTTTTTGAAAATCTGGCAATGGCCCAGACAAGAGAAGTGTGACTAGTATGGCACACGAAATTTTATATAATCTTTTGTTTTATCTAATGTGTAATAGTCATTATTGTAGAAAAGGAAGTTATCTGAAATTTCTTAATACTTAAATTGTTGATTTTTATTATTATTTCCATTCTTAAATTTACTATAAATTCAGATACTATTTGAAAGGTGAAAAATATATAAAGGTAACTATGGCTTATATGTAAAAAATTGTCATTTAAAATATAACATACTTTGTTGTTCTGTTCTAATAGGAATGCAGATGTAAAAGAGCTCCGGATTCCAGATCACAAGTTAATTGTCAGTGTGCCCTGTACGCTTCACTCACATAAGCCACCTCTTGCTGGTATGTTTTTATAAAACAGAATTGTTATGAGTTGTGTTAAATTGTAAACAGGATTGAATTTAGTATTTGCGTGGTCTACACATATGGAAATTAAACCAGATATGTTATTTTAATTAATATTCTAAAATCATATAGCATAATTTATGAAGTAGAGAATAGATTATTTTTTTGGTTTTTTGCTACAAGAAAGCTTTATTGTTTCCATTTGGTCCATGGCTTGGGCGAGGGCTCCAGACAGTTAAAGTAGCTGCCTGGTGCAGCAGGGAGGGGTTCAGGCAGAGGCCTTGACGCCACAGGGATGGAGATGGGCGAGCTCCGGAGGCGCCTCTTCCTGCTTAGGGGTGAGCCTTTCAAAAAGGTACCCGCCTAGCCCCGCCTGGGGGCTGGCCAGCCTGCAGAGGTTGGTCAGGTGGTCTCCCAATCTTGATGCGTCTCACCTCCTCATCTAGGAGGTGGCTCCCCAAGAAGGCACAGAGATGGGAGTCTGTGTGGGTAGGGCCCAAGGCATGCAATCCAAAAGGGCCTGTTTCAGGTTCTTCTCCAGGCCCATGGCGGCTTCCATGGGAGTCCAGGGCTTTACCCTATTCCTCTTGGGACGGTTTTGGCTTGTCTGGGAGGAGGGCGCTGCCGCAGCGCTGGTTTTGCAGCTTCAGGAGGCGCTCGGCCAACCCGCGGAGGAAAGGAGGGCCCTTGCCCTCCAGAGCCGGGAGGTGGTGGCCGAAGCAGAAGCCCAGAGAGAGGTAGGTGTAGGAGGCCCGCAGGTGCAGGGCGACCAGGTGGTTGACCGTGGCCTCCACTTCGGTGGAATAATTCTCAAGAATCTGGGAGGTCATTGTGGTCTGCAAAGAGGAGCAGCAAACCACAAAAAACCGATATTGGTTGGTCCCGGAGGTTGTGAGTGGAAAGGAATTTAGAGGATGGTCGAAGGTTGGAAAAAGTGTCTGTTAACGTCCAAACGCGGTTGAAGCCGAAGACAGATCCGCGTGACCACCCAGAGCACTGTTACTAGTTTTATATTACGTCAGCCTTTCCTCCTACACCATGTCTTAGGTTCCCCTTACTCTCCAAGGTGTTACCCTATCACTGACCTCAACAGAATGAAGACTGATGGCGTATCTGAAGACTGTAGTTCTGCTAGGGGCTTTATTGTACTTTATCCGTTGCTTGTTCTAAAATTAGGAGCTCTGAATAGCTGTCAGAGAGATGGTTAGAATTCCCTTGATACCTGGTATACACACTCAGTTTTATGTTGAGGTAGTGTTTTCTGAACCATTGGAAAGGTAATTGCTGCAGCTTGCAATTGTTACTAGTCTTAAAGCTTTAGCATAATGTTCATTAATGAAACTAAGCAGCAAAGAATAGTGGAAAGTTTTGGCTTTTCAGATAGACTAACATGAGTTTGAATCCTGGCTCTTCTACTTGAGTGAGTTACTCTAATAATTTTCTACCTCAGAATTGTCATTTAAAGAAAGAATAATGGTATTTAATCTTTCAGAGTTGTGAGAATTGGTTGTATTATACTGGAAATTCTGTAGCATATAGTAGATCAGTAAATGGTAAATTTTTCAAGTGAAAGAATAAAAATACAGGAATGTAAGTCCTTGAGAGAAACTGAATTTGCTATTAAAATCTTTTCTTTAGGAATATATGTATATTTTATTAATTTGGTGGTCTTAGCTTAAAAAACCCCAAACTTTCAAGCTGCCACTCAGGAAAACTACAGGCCATCAGCCTATCAAATTGTTTTGCAGAATGTGGGATAGTTCATGAGCTAGGACACGTAGGAAAGTGAATTTAAATTCCCAAGAGAATGTTTATTGATAGCACTTAGGATTTCTGTTATCCTTAATTGCTTATGCAGAAGAATCCTTAGTGTTAATTCACTTGAAAAATATTCAGATGTCTACCTGTCGATCCATTCTTTGACTTAGAGGGATTCTCAGTGAATAATTGCCTTTAAACTTTGGACTTTCATAGATTCTTTAATGCATTAAACATTTGACTTAAATAAAAAGTAAAACTATACTATTCTTTGAGAAAAAAACTATGTTTGGCACCAGTTACACTCAGTGGAGGAAATCTAATTTGTACTCTCATTTGAATTTTCTTTATTATTTGGTGAATACAAAGCTTAATTTAGGGCTTGTCTTAGGGCTTTAAACATCCAAACACCAAGACCCAAAACCTTTCACTACCAAATGATAGACTACTTATCAATTCCTTGGAAATAGAGTATGTTTAAAGATTAGTCTTAAGATACAAAGTTTTGTAAAATAGTGATTAAAATTAGTCTTTTATTAATACTAATAAGAGCCTGTATTTATGAAATGCAGTTCTGCCATATTCCCAGTAGAGAGCAGCACAAACCCATTTTTAGCATTGAGAATATTTGAAAAGAAAAATTAGATTTTTTGGGGAAAAAAATCTGTGTGACTCGGTGTATGTAATTCTTATGTTTGATTAAGTACTGGTAGACAAGTATTTGTAATCCTTTATTTTTGAGTTCATGTTACTTGATAGCAAGTGCCTGTATTTTGGGTACAGAGCCACACAAATTAAAGCCATCTGAAAGCAACTCTCAGATTTTTGCAGTATATTTTACTCTGATATCGTAACTGTAGAATTTGGAATAATACATGTTTCTATATATAATGCTTAGAACTTTTACATGAAAATGTTCTTGAACTGCTTTATGCAAATTCACAAAATGAAATGTTCTCTCTTTTGCTTCTACAAACACCAAACTTTTTTTCTTAAACAAGTTTTAATTTCTTATTTCTGCTACAAAAAGTAAAAAACACCAAATTGGCAGCATATTCCATTTCAAAGTGGTACATTTACTCTTTAAGTTCTGAAATTTCTTCCTATAGATTGAAAGATAAGACAACAATAGCTATGACTTACAACCTAACATAAGTGTATATTCTTAAGTTTAAAGATTTAAGGTAGAAAAATAAGGAAATTAGAGTATTTGAATGAAAATTTTATTTTTCATATTTTACCTTAGGGAAATATCCACTCATTTTTACTACTTTGCTCACTAACAGTTTGTATCTTAAGAGTTAAACATAGTTTGATGAGATCCTGTGCACTAACATTTCAGCCACTTTTCCCCCCAGCCATGCCCCTTGCTCCTAGAACAGAAGGGGAATGACTGGCTGTGTATGGATTACTTCCTTTCCATTGGCTGGAAGTATGTTTTACTAATACCATATGTTACACACTTATCTCTCTATATGTCATATTCATATTTAAATTTATACATTTGATTTGCTTTTTAAAATTGAGATATAATTGACATGTAACATTGTATTAGTTTCAGGTGTATCATAATAATTTGATATATATATATAAACTGATTATAATAAGTCTACACATAGTCACAAAAATTTTTTTTCTTGTGATGAGAACTTCCAGTTTCTTTTACATTGTTATTTAAAATTAGTAAGAATAAAATATTTCCACTAATTTGCCTTTTTTGCTCTGTTTTGAAATTAAACATATGTGGTTAACATTATAAAATCATTACTGCTTGATTTTCTGCTTTTTGTAACCAATAAGGAAAAAAATCTGTGCAGAAATGTGTTACATTGATAAAGTTGGAGGTGGTAAATGGGTTTAGGTTTTATGTATTTTTCCACTCTGAGTACCCGGCCATCTTTTTCTGTTAGATTGTGAACTCTTAGAAAACATGGATATCTGTTTCCTTTATAGCGCTGATTATAATGGGTGCTCAGAAATAGTAAATATTTTTGACTGGCTTACTACAGTTTAGACTCCAGTTTAAAATTCTAAAATAGAGTTGCTAACATCTTTGTACCGAAAAACTGAACAAACAAGCAAAAACAAAAACACAAAACTTTGCTTCATTATAACCTTAGACCACATCAAAAGTTAATTGAGGCCAGTAAGGCATTGAATTCATGGGGCAAAAATGGAAAAGTGATATAGTTTTATTGTTCTCTAAGACTCTGGGGAAATCTTTCTCTTTCAATTTTAGTATCATTTTAATTATATACTCATGAAAAGATGAGAAATCTCTTGTCAGCATCTCCTAGTAGTTAAAGCCCAAATTTGAGTTTCGTTGAGTTACAGATATGAATACTTTTAGTTCTTTTGATTTTTGAGAAACAGAACCAGTGCTTTCAGACAGATGAACAATTAATTTGCTATGAGAGCAACTGAAGAACATTATGAAATATAAAGTTTTTCGTATATTATCTTTTAAATCTTACCTATATCAAGTATTCCTAAGGTACCCTTATTGTTCCTGAAGGGAATTTGATGAACTTCTTCCAAGCTTAATCTTGTATAGCAGTTAAGAACTATATTTTGCCTGTTCTAGTGACTTTTTATACTTGAATTGTTATTTTCATACCCACTTACTTGTAACAGAACATATGTATACAAAAAATATAGCTAACCAGCAACATGATCAAGGTTAAATTGATTTAAATATTTGTCATTCAATTGAGCATGTGCTTTAAAAAAAAACTATTATGGAATTCTCTCTTTTCTGTTAGTTTAGGTCACAGCTATTTAGCCAACATATATATGAGGTGCCATTTTCCCCAACAAAATACAATTTTCAGTAGTTATGAATACTTTGAATAAGGAATACGTAACTGTGGAAATAACATGGTGAAATTTAGGTAAAAGGGTCTATAATTTGGAAGTGAAGAAATGTTTTCAGTACTACCAAGTTATAGCTGAGGAGGTAGAGTTATTTGTTCATTATGTGTTCTGAATATTTCTATCTGTCTCCATTTCTTACATTAAAGTATATGTTTGCAGAGACTTCATTTTATCTTAGTTTTTAAAGTGGGTTGTCTTTGTATTGTTCCTATAGACTTCTTTTTACTCATGGATTACATTTATTAAAAAATAAATGAAGTCAGTACTCAGGAGATATGTCAGCATTATTGAAAACTGAAAAGTCACCTGTGTGGGTGTTAAAATCCTCATTTCTCATCTCCAGATGAAAACCAATAAATCAGAAC